AGGTTAGGAGTAATAGTATACTACGGTCGTTAATTAACCTACTAGTTAAATTAACTTTATTTTTCTTTGTATTGTACTAGTAGGTAAAAGTAATATATATATATATATATATATATATATATATATAACGCTGGCGTTTGCAACTACATATGAGCCCAACGACCCATATTCAATCTAGGTCGATCTAATGATCACGATTGCATTTCGTATTTGAATTTAATTTAAAGGTAGGCTCTAATTTGAGTGTATAGAGCCTAGGCTCTATATAAACTGCACCCCTTTTTTCTTAACGTAGCTGAAAAGCACTTCTAAACTTCGTTTTATGACTTTAGCATGATTAATACCAAGGTTATTAAAACTGGACCAGACTAGCAATCCGACCAATAGAATCGGCGACCAGAAGCTTGTCTGGTCCAATGCAAGTTTTAGAACCAGTCAAAACAGGCATTTGACTAGTTGCATTGTTTGATCGCCGATTTTGCCGATTCTATTGGTCTATCCGGTTTGTAAAGTTTAGCTTAACTTCTAATTTTTTTCAAATTTATTGCCAATTTTTTGCATGATCTTATCAAGAATCATGGGATAAAGAAGAAGTTATATCTTACTTTCCTTTTTTTGAAAAATAAAAGGCTGGATTTGTTTAAATCATCTCTTTTATTGTATCCTCTCTTGCTCTCTCTCTATACGTATTTGTGCTTTGCCCATGTAAAGTGGAAAGAGGAAAAGCTTTCCATATGCACCTTGCTATTAATTAAACAAAATGTAATGGTTAGTTAACTAATATGTATTGTTTAACTATTTACTAATGTTTAATTTAAAGAATCGCTTTCAAAGAAACCATTTACTTTCTATACATGAAGGTCACAATCATTTCCACTCATTAGATATCAAATTGGATGGCTTGAGATGGATCACAAAATCTAAGAAATTTTAAAATGCAATATTATATTGTTAAAGTGAGTTATTTTTTCAAAAGAAGTTATTATATTTACTAATTTCTCATTTGTTAACTTGTGTTTTTCTAGTTTTAAATTGAATGTCTAAGAATTTAATAAAATTTTTAATTTTTTATATCGAAAAAAATTTAACCAATTGAATCAATTTTGATTGAACCAGCCTCTTCATTTATTCAAACACTAATCTGATCTTCATAACACTGATTAATGCTTCCCGTTTGAAATCACTTACAAATAAGAAAGCTTCCATGCTTTACATGCCAAATGATTCAAACCTTCGGTGTTAAGCAATGGCGCAGAGAGAGAGAGAGAGAGAGATCCTCCAGTTACATATTTTAATGCTATTTCGCTATTCTCATTCTAGGAATACTTTTTTTTTCTAGATCATGAATCACCATTCGTTCTTGGTTATATCAACAACCTTATCGTTAATACCATCTCATCTGAGCACTTCCCGACAACGAATCGACATCCATTACTCCATATCAGCCTTCATAATTCATCATCTGCACCTGTACGAATATGCAGACCTCTCCCTCTCTCTCTCACTTCCATGCCAAAAGCCAAAACCCTATGCTCGAATACATGTTTGTGCATCTAGAGAGAGATCATGATAACTTTTTCCTCTCCAACACAACTCATGATAGGCGTATAGAACTACAGTTGGGTGGACGAGGTAGAGATGTGCAACATAAATTTTAAGTGATTGTCGCATATCATTAAAACTAAAAGACAAGTTTCATAGGACAACTGTGATGCCATCTTTGTTTTATAAGGCAGAATATTGGATGGTCAAGAAACAACATATCCATAAGATGAGTGAAGCTAAAATAAAGATGTTAATATGGATGAGTGACAAAATAAAAATGGATAAAAAATTCAAAATGAATAATTTAAAACAACTTAAGTGTGACTCCAATAAGTGATGAAATGAAAGAATGCAGATTTAAATAGGTTGGCCATGTATAACACTTGTCAGGAGGTGTAAATTGATAGAATGCTAAAAAAGGTAAAGGATAAACCCAAAGGGACCTGGTTATTGAGAGTGTGGCCTTTGATAGAACAAAATGACCGATTAAAATTCGTATTGCCGACCCCAAATAATTAAAAAAAACTTTGATGATGACGAACATGAAACACAACTTCAGATGAAGAAATGCTTGCCCTATGGGTAGAAGATTCGCTCTAAGCAGATGAGACGAACCTCAAAGCCAATAAACCCCCCCCCTAAAGACCACACACTAACAATTTAACCAGATATCACAAACAAAATTTACCAAGGATATGTTTTTTATCTTTCTCGAAGCTAAACCCAACCTCAACAAAATTATATCCGGAACCCAACTTCATTAACCCCTCAACATTCAACCCAACTCCATAAAACCTCTCAAAACTCAAAATAAAATCCACGAGATCTCCAAAAACTTTAAACCCATTTCACCAAACCTCTGAAACTCAAAACCCAGCATCCTAAATGTTCCATAAACTCAAGCTCAAAAGAAATATGTCAAGACTACAAATTCCAGTCTATACTACAAATTCCAATCTATTTTTAATATGTATATTCAAGAGTAAACAAACTCAAAATAAATACGTATACTCCAAGTATTGAAAGAATCAGGAACCCTTGGGCCGAAAACTATAGTGGCCCTGTAAAATATCTGAAGGGTTGGTGCGTGATCTTTGATGAAAAGTACGGCATTATCTTTATTCCGTCTATAGATATTTGTGGTATCCACAACTCTGATGCATCTTTCTCTGTGGCAGATCATTTTTTTTTTTTTTTGAAGATAATAAAATGAATCACACAATTTTTTCCAGCAGGGCCAAAATGTTTACTTGGGTCCAGAGAAAACCCCCCACCATCCATGATTATTCCATCATTTCACTAAGCTTTTAAGCCGGTGAAAGTATTTTTGTGAGTCAGTCTAACTCATGTGTCTACTGCTCGTGCATGTGACCCTTTTTTTTGAAGGACCTTAAATCCGAAACTTATCCTAAATTTTGCAAATCCATTTCCACCTTAGATTCATGAATTTGGAGTTCTAAGGAAATTAAAGATATGATAAATTTGGAAGAATTAAAATTGATCGTTAAAAAACAAAATAGACCTTCTTATGGCTCAAAATTTATCATCTTCCCCCTTGCTAATATTCCTCATGATCTAGATGATAGATCCAAAATCCAATCTCTTATGGATTTTGGCTGGGTGAACCACTATAGTAGATGCCCGGATGCACGAGATACACCAAACATTTACTTACTAAGCATCTGCTTTGTGATTATCTGAGCCCTTCACAAGCAGCATACTGACTAAAATAGCAACAAAGAATCATTTATACATGTAACGGGCAAGAGAAACATACCCCATAACTCCATCAAATCACGAAACTCAATCACAGGAGGTGACAGATAACGCCACCTGAAGGTCATTAGATGTGCCACAAATATACATTCTATGGGTCTCGATCTCTTGATCAGATTGGTTGCTCGTTCCATAATGGCTACCAATCATGGCATCAAAAACTGTAAATATTATCTCACGTTTCATTGGTTCATGACCATTGAGTTGGTTACCCATGCTTAAAACCTTCCTCCAGGATTGATTTGCAGTTGGTGGTGGAAACAAGTTTGCCACAGTTTCTCTCTCATTCCTGCTCACCATTTGCTTGATGTGGAACTCCTATGGGCAATCAAAAGTAATGGAAAATCAAAGCCGGAAATCAACTACAAATTCCAATCTATTTTTGAAACATTTGAATGGTATACGATACAAAAATTGAAAAAAAGTATATGCTTATCAATTTTTCTTTATTTTCTGACAATTTTCTGTAACTATCTTTTCTTCTTTTCCTAAAATTTTATGAGATTCCCTTGAAGTTTCTAAGAGAAATCGAGCTTCTTAAAGTGGTATTCAGGCTATGCATACCTTGTTATTGGAATCAACTGAACCCACTCCCATTCTCGGAGTGAAATGTTTGTGACAGTCATCGAAAATTCCATTACGAAGGCGTGGAGCCGCATGCAATTTGCGGTGGATTGACGCTGCGAAAATGAGCAATCTTTCAACTTGTTCAAAGATATGGCAAAGCCTATCAAGATCACTGAAGAGCTCCTCTTCTTTGTCAGCTACATGACTTGCTGTTATAAATAACACCACCATTGGAAAATGAGATCAAGCTGTTATACATCTCGCATTTTGGTATATGACACAGAGCAGGGCATCCATGCTCCATATAATAACAGATTGTGGAGATGGAAGTGTAGATCTGGGTTGAATATCCATGATCTGAATCCACAGTCTTGAGAATTGATGGTGGATAACTTTTTTTTTTTTTGGTAAATAGAAATGCATGAGGCGGTGCTTATGAAGAATTGAAGGTGGATAACTGATTAACTTCATATCAAATACAGGATGTTTATGAATACTTTCCCCTATATGAAATAGAAAAAATTAAAATGCATATTACGAGTTCCAGGAAGGAGAAATTTTAGTGGAAACTGAAGCCTATACCTTTATTTTGCTTGTCATGGGAGACGGATGAGAGCTATACCACAATCAAATGGACCATGGAGAAACATAGTCATAAGGATAATCAATGTCTCTATGAAGCCATGTTTCAAAATATGACTCGGGCAAGATATCCAAGACCTGCCTGAGCTGAGTGACATTAGGCAAGTTGACTCAGACTCCAGCCGAGTCATGAATGAGCCATGGAAAGGGCCGAAAAGAGCCCAGATGAAAAATCCTTAAATAATGCTGAATGACAGGGAAAAATCCTTAAAAAAAAGCAAAACATGAAAAAATAAGGAAGACTAGAGAAATAGAAAAAAAAAAAAAAAAAATGATGAATGACAAAAGTATGTAAAACATGGAAATTGATAACAAATTGATGTTATTTGCAAAAATTATCAGATAATTGATGAAAAATTGAAAAAAATCTCTGTTCAAGAAAATTGAAAAATAAATATTATTTTTTTGATAAAATGCAACAATAGCATAAAGAACATAGTATATACGGTGTCCACCTTATGCTATTGAAGTAATATGCACCTCAAAAACCCAGACGAAAAGGATTTTGAAGCTAGAAAACCCTCAAATTAATCATCTTGACCTCGAGATGTAGGATATGGCACAATAAAGGATTTCAAGTTCTAAAAATAGTGCATCTAGTAACATATTATTTGGACAGCTCATTTTAAAAAAAATTTAAGCGTTTATAGATCCGCTTGATTTGCACCATTTTTTAACTTCAAATTTCACCATTAAAGGTAACAATAGATTATCATGCCATCATAAATATTTCCAGCACCAAGAATCTTTCGACATAGTTTAAAGGCACACCTTATTTTGATTGTTTAAGGTTCATACCTTATACAAACCTCACCCTAACATAAATATTACTAGAATGAGTAATATTAGGAAAAAAAAGAAGAAGCAAATATATGAAGTTAAATTGGCAAAAAAATGAAATTTATCCAAACATGTAAGGCCAAATCCTCCAATGTTCAAGCTAGGTATGCATTGATGCTTCCAGTCCTTGTCAAAGCTTTCCTTGAACAACCCAAATCAAAAATCCTAAAGTAGTTTTGGATTTTGCGTTCAGATCTAGGAGATTTGAGCTCTTGAAAATTTTGTATGAATAATAAGTTTCCAAATTTTAGATTCTTTTGTGAGAAACATGTCATAATTGGATAAAGATCTCAAAAATAGGCTTAACTATTATTTCGTCAAAGATCGACTAAAAATTGCAAAGTAATAGCAATTTTTTGAAATAAGTCAAACCCTATGGTGAAACTCTATGGTGACATTTTTTATCAAAAGAACTGTTTAATCTGGTATTTTTACTCAAATCTAATGCTTCTAATAGATATATCATGGCAAACTCATGCCAAAGACTAAACTTCGGCTCAAAATGCATATGCTAGGGCCTCCAATTGAATAAAATGAAGAAAAAGGGAAACTAATTTCCAACCCTCCCTTTTTAATTGGGAAGTCTATAGTGTAATCCGGTGAGTACTGTAGCAACTGATTTAAATGTTGTGAAATTTGGGCGATTTATGCCCAAGTCACAATACCTAGGCGAGTTTGTACAGTACCCGCATGAGTACTATACAAGGCACACTTAGGTACCCTATTCCAGCCTTGGCAAGCTACCAAGGTTGAGCCACTCACAGAGTCCGAGTCGACTCTGGTGAGTTCTTGAATGCTGCTATCAAAGAATGACATTGATAGGGAGAGAGTGGTACCCCCTATTGGAGTCGTGTCTTTTACTATTGAGTCCCCCCTGCTGTTATCCATTTCATCACATGATGACGATCCTAACGGACTAGGTTCTCCAAAGTACAATGGATTATCATCTACTTCTTCATATTAGACATACCTCTCAAGGTCTTCAATGTGGATGCGATTGTAAGGTAGAGCTGCTCCATCCTAACTATCATCTGCTTCATGCCACCAAAATCGGTCTGGTTTAGAGTGTCCGCGCTGGCTCTGAAGGCAGTGCAAACCATCTGCTCAAGCAATAGATGGGGGCGTAGGGTTTCTAGGTAGTGAAGAATCTGCAATAATTAGACATTTTAGTAAGTCATTCAAGTAATCAGCATTTCGTGTAGCTGACCCCAGTTAATTGTGAAAAGACTATGATGATGATGATTCAAGTAATCAGCATAAAGTATACATTTTCTAATGGGACAAAATACTACACAAAATACTACACACAGCTAATGTATGGTGGATCATACCATCCACTCCTGATGATAGATGGTGGAGATTATCATGGTTCCAAATTTGCAACTTAGGTATTAGGTGATCTCAAGGAAATACGCATATAAGTTGCATCCTATCAAGCACCAAAACAAACAATTGATAAAAGGCCAGCAAATGCCATATCAATATTTATTTACAAGTTACATGATCATCAATATACAAGTTTTCCAAGAAATCCAAATTTCAGTACATAATAGTACACTTGAGTACAGTTTAATACATTGATTGGTGGGCATATAGTGATTACCCTAATCAACCAAGAACTGACACAGTTTTGGAGCCCACCAAAATGGTAGCATGTTATTGTTTATGGAAATGAAGATGCACAAATGGATAGAAGAAAAGATGCCTCCACTTCATTGTTTAAGTAATAATCTCATCGGATCTTACTCAAAGATTTATTAATTTCTTCAAAGAAAGCATTAAAATAAGATGTGTGTAAGAGCAATAGCTGTACCTTTTCACCTTCGCGATTTGGATCAAAAAGAGGCTTCTGCTCACAGGCGGGCAAATCAGGGGCATCATTCCAAATATGACGCCATAAATTTCCATATTCAGACATCCTATGTGAAAGTCTTCCCTTGGGAGGCCATCCTCGCTTGAAAGTTGAATTCTTTTTAAGTATATCAGTTTCCCCATTTTCAGCAGTTTCCCAATGACCAGGTGAATGCCATCGGATGAAATCTTCAAAAACTGCACCTGGATTTGCAGCTTTGAATGCAGCCATGTCTGCTTGTACAGAAAGGCAACAAAGAAATTTAAACAATAATAAGAATTAGCTCATGGTTTTCTCTGTTTTCGTGACAGATAGTAATAGAACTGCAACTAAAATTTTGAAAAAGATAGTCGTAAAGAAGTTTAATGGAAAAAAGTACGTAAAATAGTAGTGCACCAAACTTCAGTTAAGGAGTCTCATGTTAAACAGAATATCAACGCCATGCACACCTTACAACACTACCACAGTATGCGTTCAAAACAAATTACATTCATCCTAGGCATCCATTGGAAATAAACCCACATTACTTTTTCTCCAAAGGACCAAGGTACGATGATCGTAGCAAAGAAAAACTTCACAAAAATTTTCATCGAAACAGAAACATAAGACAAAAAAAAAGAAATATCTTATGTAAACCATGAACCACCATGTTGTTATCATAACCGTATGGATCATATCATATAATTCCTAGACAAAATTGATGTCACAAAGGTTTAAATAACTCATGCTTGGGCAATCCTATACATTTATTAAACTCCCAAGAACCCGTATATCCCAAGATTGTATGTAAGATGATTGATGGCTGTTGTGTATCTATCCAAATCGAAGTTTTTAAAATCCCGACTCACTGTTTTATTCCATACAGGAAAGTCATGCCATGGTGTCTGGAAATGGCAATTTAACAACTAATATCATTCATCTCTTGGGAGATTTTTGAGTTGCTTTTATAAATGTTGAACACATTATCCATGTTCAAATCTCCTTGTATCAAAGAAGTCACGGGCATTATCAACTCATTAAGAAATTCAATTCATAAAAACAAGTTATCAAGCCAACTCTTCATAGAAGTTTGCTCGGTGAAGTTTGCTTCTAAAAATAATTACACAACAAAGGATTGTATAGCAAAACATCCATTGTTCAGCAATTTTCCAGCCTTCTAGGTTTTTGCAGAATAGTTCTAAAAGAAATACAACGAACCACCTGACAGCTCAAAAGTTAGCATATTTGCATTGAATTGGAATAGTATGTTCCAAGCTAGGTTGCTACCTGATGACAATATTTCCTTCTCTAATTGAACTGAGGAGCCTTTGCACTGCAAAACAAAGAAGTTCACTGCAGTCAGCAAACATAACAAGCACTAACCATTTTGATTGCATTGGTTTATCTCAAAATGCATCAATTGATATTAATACCAAATACATTTAAAGCATAATAGTTGGCAGTTTTTGAAAACCCAGATCGGCCAGGAGGCTCAGCTGTCCGGAAAACCGGTCTGGATCAGCAAATCGGTTGTCCGAATCAGTAGATAGGCCCAATTCGGCCTTTAAAGAATTTGTAAATATATTTTTGGGTTTTGAAAAAAATGGGGGTAGTGCATTATGAACTTTTGTTATTTTGTAAAAATATGTGAATATTGAGAGGTTGTTTCCTGTCTGAATATCTATTGAGTATTACATTCACATCAAATAGAAAAAGGAGCATAAAAATATCATATACATGAATACATGATCAAAATTGAGCATAGAACTATTAAATTACAATCTAATGCAAAAATGAAAGACGATATCCTCCTTTGTCTTCATCACGTTGTTTCCACTCATTGAATTGTTGGGACAATTCATTGAGTCGGTTAATGTATGGTACAAAATTTACAAAATCATCATTACTTAGCGAGATGTACTCGGGTCCCCCGTGGTTGTTGAACTGCTGCTTTCCTAGCCTGAATGCCCCAAGGTTTATCCACACCTCGTGCTCGCCCAGACCATCCTACTTCTGAGTCTCGGGCTTTGTATATATTGGCTGGGACTAGGTGGCCTCAAAATCACCTTCCCTTATCTCCTCGCCTCCCACCTTCCCTTATCTCCCCCTCCCACCTCCTTTCCCCTCTCCTCAACAAGCACACCGTCTCCATCTCCTATGAATTGCTCAAATGTCAGCAGGTCCCCTCCTCCTCCGTGTTCTCCAGCACCTTCTTGGTCATCTTCCTTACTAATTGCCTCAGGAATGCTCTCTTGCATAGCATTGGCTTGTCTTCCTCTACTGCTCACTACTTGGCTATATCTGTAACAAATATTGTGTCCAGGTTGATTGGCATGCATTCTTCAACGTTCCTCCTAAGTTGTCGCTCTCGATGGTTTGATTGTAATGAATATAAACTAGGTTTTTAAGCCTCTCTGAAGTCAGCCATTTCCTCTTAGGAGTGTGCAACCACTGAAATGTACTCCAGTTTTGCTTACACTTAGTAGTTGAATATGTTTCAGAAAGCACCTTGATTGCTACCCTTTTTCAGTGAGGTATGTCACAACCATGTATCTGCCGCCATTAAGTTGAAATAAAATCCAAAGGGTGTAGCAAGAAATAACTATAATATTACATATGGTGAATGATGTGAAAGAACATGTAATTAGTTAAGAGATAACCTAGATGCATCACACTGCGAGAAGTCCTAGCAAGCCTGGTTACGAATGAGCCTTCCATATCCCTATACAAAGAAAGCTGAGAAACACATTGTATTTTAGTACTGTACACCTCACAAATGCACCAAGTCAATGAAGTTCCTACGTCACTTAGTGCTGTTACCTGGCTTCCAATAATGTATCCCACACCCTCCATATCCTTGTTGGAATAACAACTGTCGAATGGAAATGTTTGAGGTTGAAGTATAAACCAAGACAATAAGAAGATGGAGCGACCATTTAAATTCAGAATGATAGAACATTTTAATATTTACTATGCAAAGCATAACAAACATTTACCTGTCAGCAGGTGATGGCAGACCTAAATAGCTCCTTTTTCTCAGTTTGTTATCTCATCAAGCGAAGGATTTTGGAGTGGTTATTTATGAATTTTGTCACCGACCTCGCTCACTCTAGAGTCTCCTTCACAATCTTGATCATGGTAATCTCCTCTAACATGAGTTCAACGAAGCACGTAACACATGAGATCCATACCAAATGCTTCCTTTTGTCCATCAAATTTGACTCCTTAGAAACACATGCCCTAGCATTATCGGTAATAATCTAGACAACATGCTTCTCTCCCACCTCTTCAACAACCTAGTCCAATAATTGTGCCAAGGACTTTGCTTTCTTCCTCCCTATCTGCTTGATAAGAAGGTCGTTCCATGTGGGCAATAAACTAAAAAGTTCAGATAATCTTTCTGATTGATTGTCTTTCCAACCGTCACTCATATGCCTTAGGGAGTTCACCCAAGGCACCTATGCCACCTTAAATTGTAGCAATCATAGGCTATTAATATGGGTATTGACTACTTTGAAGGGAATCCTAATAGTCCCCTTCACTAGGTGCCTTGCACCTTTAATCAAGCCTCCAAGGTCGTATGTTACGACCTAGGCTTCAGGAGGAATGGGTTGGTGCAATCCTGAGCCATGGCCACACATGTATATTGTGTGTAACTCTCTTGGACCCTATGAGACTCATTTGAAGTATGGAGGGTGCCCCAGACAACCCCTCTTCCACACTAGAACTGGCACTAGTTGCCCCTATGCCTCTATACATTTTCATGTTGGGCCCTCTAATTTGCAGATTTCATCTTTGGTTTAGAGGGAGGATATAAACCTTCAATTGAATGGTAAACAATGTCATTTCCAAAGATACCAATTTGCAAATTCATCTCATGATAATAGAGTTCCAAGATACTCAATTTGCAGGCTTCATCCCTAGATTAGAGTCGTACTATCCCCAAAGTCTTCTTCTGCGAGCTTTGCAAAGCCCAGAATTCCCCTGAATCGATCGCGGTGGCGATGTTTTTTAGATCAAATTTCATCAGGATGTTGTTCTGGGTGTCATGGAAAAACCTGGGGTACGAGTCTTGGCCGAGAGAGATGGGTATCAATAGAGAGAGAGAGATGAGAAAGAGAGATGGGTTTCAATAGAGAGAGAGAGAGAGATATGAGAGAGAAAGATGGGTTTCAATAGAAAGAGATGGGTTTACAGTCCTAGAGATCTCCAGTTACATGGACCTAGAGAGAACATGGAGAGAAACCCTAATTTTGATTTCGATAGTGAGAGAGAGAAGGGAGGAGATTACGGGTTCTCAAATCCAACGGTGGGATTAGTTTTACAAAGTTAAAAGTATGGTAGGGATAAGGTCTTAAGAATTATAAAAGTATTACATATATTATAAATATAAATTAATAAATATATGTATATATATTGTATTATTTTAAATTTCGGGTCGGATCTGGATCGGATCCACCCCAATCCGGATCCAATCCTAATTACTATTTGGATCCGAATTTTGGATCTTGATCTGAATTTCGGATCCATATCCGGATCCGAATAGGATCTGAAATTCGGGTTTCGGATCCAAATCAAGTGAATTCTCAGCCCTATAGTAAAACAACTGTCATGTGTACATGCCGTGCGGAAGTTTGTTGAGGCTTTGGTCCTTGCTCTCACAAGCCTACAACCGCAGCCAGGAGACCACACAATTATCTTGGCCTATGAACATACATCCCTAGGCATCTCTCCAACCGCAACAAGGGATGATCTCAATGTAAACCCTTATTAGTAGTGCCGCATGTCCAGGGGTAAGGCTTTTGGACATAAGTAGGGCCATAAACCGCCCAACCCTTGGTCAGTCAACACACACACTCCCACTGAAGTGCAGATTCCATTATAAAACTTTAGTTTTACAAGCTCTCTAGGGCACAAACCCAACATAAGGATCCACACATTTATAAGATTGAGAATTTTTTAAAATTTTTTACTCCTATTTTCAAAAAATTGCATATTGGTATTGTTTATTTTTCCTTTTTAATAATCATTGTTTTGAAGAAAATTTGCCAATTTAGAATAAGGGATATGAAGGGCATGGGGAATTGGGCAATATATTCTCTCCTAAAATTGGAATATCTCCTTATAGAGTCCTAATACATAAGGTCACCACATATTTCTTGGAATATATAAAAAACCTATTGGTTTAAAATAATATGGTTTAAAATAATTTGATAGTTTATTTTTTAAAAAAATAAATGTGTTACTTTCTTAATTTTTATTTTTCATTACATACTTTTTCTGTTAAAAAAAATGTTTCCAAACAAAAAAAAGGAACATGAAAGTTTATCCTCACACAGTAGAGCCCAATAATAAGGTTCATTAAATTCTCAAATTTATATTAATTCTCTTAAGTTTCTGTTTTACAATAAAATTAAGGAATATGACACTTTTTATTTTGTAAAATTTATGAATCAATATTTTAAAGGATGACTTGATACTAGTTTAAAACATGACATTGGAAAATTTATTTGTAATTTTGATTGGTTGCACCTATGCATTGGCACAGGTTGTGGGCTGATCTCTATCGCTATGGTACATCATCTTGCTATTTTCTGTGCCAAGAAAACAGCATCCTGTAAAACTATGCAGTAGCTATAGAAAGTGAACGGTTTGGTGTCAACATCCAAACCATTAAAGTCTTGGTAGGCAACCAGCCAAAGTTTTATCGGGAAGAGAACTAGTCTATGGAGAGGTGTCAAGCAAAATATAGCATATGGAAAATGCAAAAATTACCAAAAGATGTGTCAAGCCCAAGTGCGTGTGAGATTCTAGACCTAGTAATAAACAAATAAAGAAGCACTCCAATGCGAAATCTGGAACTCAATGGAAATGAAAGATCTTTATTTGCTGCCAAATACTTCACATAGGGTTTTATATATCAAGATAAAAATATGACAGCATACCCAACTGAAATTGTTATGCATGCTTAAGCTTAAATGTCGTGGAAGCATCGTAATCCATAATTGCTATATTGTTAACATGAATCAGAGGAGTAGAAATAATGGTTGCCAATCATTTAATAAACAATCAAGCATCTTTACCACACTGTCAAAGCCCCCTGCAGCATAATGGATTGAAAGTGCTCAAACCAAGTTGAGTGCTTCTGTGAGCCATACAATGTACTAGTTAGTCTACAAAGAGGGGCACATCACATAATCTGGAGGTGATTGACTAAAAACTGGCTAATATAGGAACCAATCCTAATAGTGGATCAGAGAAGACATTGCACATGGGTGTGAATCTCCTACTGGAGGTGTGTGTCCACACACACACGCACGGATGTACAGATACAATAGTCATGCATTAATACCCATCCAAGAACAACATAAGTACATTGAAAACTAAAGCCCTTTAAAACATTCACTCAATTTGAGTGAGATTTAATTAAGCAGAATATCAAACATGTAGGAGAAATATTTGCAATAAATGCAGTAATCCATGGATGTTTTAGGGTTCAAAAATCATGCAACATCCTCAGCATGGTCCATTGCAGTTCAGGACATGGTTTGAAGTCATTAAATGATGGGATTCATGATATGTTTAGTTTAGGATGTTGTAGAAAATCAACATTGATTAGCGACAAAGGAGTTTGACTTAGATGCACATTCAATTATGAACAACACTCAAGAAAAAAATCACAAATATGTCAGTTCTATTTATTAGTAAGGAGCATCACCCAAACTATAAGCATAACTGTACACATTACAAATGAGTGTTCAGTACCAGTCCAGATTAACACAGAAATCATAACTTAAAAGTTTTCCATAAATTAATTTCCTGACTCATATGATATAACAAGTTGTTGGTAGCATAAGTAAGAAACTTACAAAGGCATCGCCAAAGGCTTCCATCGTCTGAAGCCTTTCTTCATGCATATCTTCTGTCATAACTGGTGGGTCCTAATACACAAGAACAAAGGAGCAATGTTTTATCTCTTTATTTCTTTATATGATCTTCATTATCCTTAATGAAACAGTTACCTCCAGAGTTATTCATTATTATTCCTGACAACTAGTCTGTCTTTTTTCTTTTTCGAATATTAACTTGGGTCTTCGCTAGGAATGACCCTCTAAACATCATGTTGTGCCACCCTGACCACTCAGATATTGAAGCCATTCCTTCCTAACAACTAGTCTTAGTGAAAAGTATAATTAAAAATCTAATAGGCAAACCTGAGTTATAGGAGCATGCATCTTTTGGTATGATTTCAGCAACATCATATTTGCTACAACACCAGCTGAACCCCTTCTGACACGAGGTGATAGAGGTAAATCTTGAGAGGTGTCTCCATCCCATCTAGTACCACTATGTTCAACAGCAGAAACTTATATTAATGTTCCAAAAGGAAAATATAACCAATGGCTGTGGCATTTTGTTGATTCTAAAAAGGTGATTAATGTTCCTAAAGGAACATATAACCGATGGCTAAGGCATTTTTTCAATTCTGAAAAGATTATCAAGCAACAAATATTATGACAAAATACGCAAGAGAAAAAATGGTATCAAACAAGGAAACAGGCAGGAACTGTCTTTTTCTTAGATGGAGGGGGGTGGAGAGAGAGAGAGAGAGAGAGAGAGAGAGAGAGAGTAGAGAGGTAGTAGTAGTGTAGTTAAGTTTAGTTAGTAGTACGTCTACGTAGAGTACGTAAGTAAGTACGGACGTACGTACGTTACGGTTA